CTATTATAGAGGTACCGCACTGTACAAAAAAAAAAAGAAGTAAAAGAACGTTAATAAACGTTCTTACATAAAAAAACCAAAAAAAACCCACTCCCCCCTTTAAAATACTCACCGGTTTCAAGTTCCAAGTTTCAGGCTAGAATCTACAAAAAAAAAGTAAAAGAACGTTAATAAATATTCTTACATAAAAAAAACAAAAAAAAAACTCCCCGCTTCTTTCCCTTAAAATACTCACCGGTCTCCATTTCCAAGTTCCAGGCTGGAATTTACAAAAAAAACAGTGTTGTTTTTTTAAAATGAAAAAAAAAATTTAAAATTGCGTAATGCAATTCTTATTTGATTTGTACTATGCTATCCGATAATCTAATTCAGATCATTAACTATTAAGGCCGCTCCAAGCCAATTCTTTGTTTAACATAATATAGGGGTCCCAATCTAGGGAGGGGGGGAACAAAAAATAATACATAAAATAAAATACATGGCCAGAATTACCATTAATTTTAGCCAAAATTTTGACTAAAAGAGTGAGCAGAAATTTTGGATGATAATTCTGGCTAAAACTTAAAGATTTGTCTAATTCTGGCCTAAATTACATGTATTTTTTTTACATAAAAAATCCAAAAACAGGGGAGGGTTAAGTTTAAACGAAACATTGAATTGGTGCAGCCTAATATTAATAACCGTCAAATTAACTGGCTGGTATATTTTTTCTAAAAAATAAATGATTTTTTTTTAAAAATTTTATTAATGAAAAACTGATTTTTTTTACTTTTAGTAATAAGTAAGGTTGCTTGTCTAAACCTTTTCAAAATTTTACGATTAATTTCATCAAAATTTTACTATAGATTTATTATAGTTTGGTAGAGTTTCAGCAGTTTCGGCATTTATAATAAGTTTCGGCAGTTTCGTCTTTCTTTAAAGTTTCACCAGTTTTTTAATATAACATATCCGCCGATCTGCGGAATTAACAAAATTCGTCTAAATTAAGGAATTTGACAATAATTTAATAAAAATTAGGTAAATTAAGTTTTGCAAAAATGATCACACTTGTGCTACATGATCATATGACAAATATTAAGAAATTATTTCAACAAAAAGTAGCGTTAAAAAAATTTTTTTCTTTCGTAAACTCCCTATTAAACTCCCCATCAACCCCCCATCAACTTTTCAAACAGTTTTTACATCAAGTAAGTTGAGAATTTTTGCAAGTATATTTGTAATTATTTTATATTAGATACAACTTGGAGCTGTTTTTTTATTTTTTTTTTTATAGTTTATAAAAAAAATTTATTTAGAAAGTAAAATTATTCAAAAAAAATCTTTTCAATAAAATAAATAACTCTAAATATTAATAATGATGTTTTAGCAAATTTAGATTATGTATTGATTAGTTGTTTAATTAAAATCTATTTGATATTTATTATTAATTATTTTTCAGTTAATTTTTTTTCGTTAAATCATTAAATATTCTGAATTTTGTAAAGTTTTTCTTTTGTTTTTTTTAATAAACTAACTTTATAATATTTTTTTTCTTTTTTTTCTAGAAACTCCTTCTACTGGCTTCGGGTTAAAGAGGTAAATATTTTGGAAGAGGTCTTAAAAGTTTTTTTATATATTTTTTGACATTTTTTCTTACGTAGGAACAGGTTTTGATCAATTTTAATCGGTACTGCGCCACATAACTGATGATCAGCAAATTTCGCAAATCGGCGGATATGACTTTAATATAGTTTTGGCAGAATTTCACTTTTTGGCAAAATGCCAAATTGCCTAAACTTCTAGGTTTCGGCAAGCAACCTTAGTAATAAGAAGAAATCAGTTTCTTTATTAGTTAATTAAAAAAATTACATTTATTAAAAAAAATTATCCTTTTTTTTGCGGGCAATTCATAATTCCACAAATAATCTGCAATTTCGCAATTAATTACAAAATTGCAGATCATTTGCAAAATTGCGGAAAAATTGCGGAATTGCATCTAACAGAATTGCGGATATATAGACTTCAAAATCCACAATATTCTGCAATATCACATATCGCAAATATTCTGCAATTACTTATTTGCGACACCATTTTTATATAGAGCAAGCATATGAAAAAATGAAAAATACTTTACTACATTGTAATCAAATATATAAATATAAGTTGAATATAGAATTATCACATAATCTTACACTTTGTTTTGCATGTAATAGTTAATTAACCAAGATGTTAAAGCAGTTGAAAAAGAACAAAAAAATATTCCTCCATTAACAGGTGATACAGTCAACTCTCTTTATAGTCACACATTTGGGACAGTCCATATTTGGTGATTATAAAGAGATGTGACTATATAAAAAATTTCTTATATTTGTATATCATAATTCCGGCCAAAAATTAACATAATTTCAGCCAGAATTATACTTAAAACTTTATTGTATTGTAACTTCGCCAATATTAATCGTATAGAGATGATCTTACCGCCATTCGATTCGTCTTGATGAGATGGTTCTAATGGTATAAAATACGTCGAAATCCAATCACTGATTAATTTCTAAAATTAAAAAAATATTAATGGTTTTTGTGTAATAACTCTGTCGATATTGATCCTAGAAAGACGATCTTACTACCATTCGATTCGTCTTGATGAGACGAATCTAATGGTATAAGATACATCGAAATCCAATCACTAGATCAATTTCCGAAATTAAAAAATATTAAATGGTTTTTAAGTAATAACTCCGTCAATATTGATCACAGAGAGATGAGCTTACCACCATTCGATTCGTCTCGATGAGGCGATTCCAACGAGCTATAAATCGTCTTTTTACAATCACTAGGTACTGAAAAATCTAGCAAAATGTTAAATGGCGCAGTAAACGTAAATCAAGAAATATTATAATGCTGATGTTTAACATTTTGTTGAATAACTCGTCAACCAGTAAAAAGAAAAGGATAAAACTACCACAATTCGATTAGTCTCAGTGAGACGATTCTAACAAGCTATGATACATCTTTGTACGATTATTAGATGCCAAGTTATTTAATATATTCTTTATATAACTGTGATTATAAACGGTTCTTTTTAATATAAGATTTTTGAGGATAGATGTGATAGTGACTATAGATAGATGGTGACTATATAGGATAGATTTTAATAATAAAGTGTTTTGAACATTCAACTAGTGTGACTATATAGTAGAATGTGACTATAACGGGAGTGACTATAGAGGGAGTTAACTGTACTTCTTTTTAACAATCATAAATAAAATTTTGATTATAATTATCTATCAAAAAAAAAATAAACAAACATTTTCTTCTGTAATAGTTAGTTTTATTTTAGAAAATCCAAATTTTGTTAATTTTAGGAATAAACTTGAAATATATATTTGTGAACAAATTGAATTAGTTTATCAAAATAAATATAATTTAACATATAAATCAAGTACAGAAAGTGGAACAAGAATACTTTTAGATAATGAAGAAGCATTTAGTAAATTTATAAAAGATTATCAGACTATGATATTAGGAAATAAAAAAGTAATGATTTTTATTATACTTAAAGAATTATCCAAGAAACATTCACGTCAGATATTTTATAATTTATTGTTTTAAAAACTGTTTGTTGAATTTTCTTATAATATTATTCTTAATTAATTTTAGAATGAAGTTTCAGAACAGGAGGTGTCTAATGATGAATTGAAAAATTAAATTCATTCTCGTCAAAAAACTAATCATTACCAAAAAACATGCCAAAAATCATATCATATCAAAAGAAGCTAATTTAGATGAAAATGAAGTATTGGTTAAATCTTATGTAATGAAATTAAATGATAAGTATATTTGTGAAGTTAAAAATCACAAGCATTATTTTATTAAAGATGATTGGCATTTATCCTTGAATAATTTTGCAATTAATTTGTGGGCTATCTAAAGAAATTGTATGTATTTTGTATCTAATTTATTTATAAACAAATTTTAATGATTAAGTATTTTTATTATAGGTAAATAAAAATACAGATTTAGATACTCCTCCTAATCATGCTTTATTTAGTATAATGCATTCAGTAAAAGTAACTAGAAAAAGTTTTTTATTTGACGAATTTATTCAAATGTATCATTTGTCATATCCATTACCATTACCATTACCATTACAATCAACTCCATCTCCTTTATCATATAATTATTCTAATTATAATTCTGATATTCCAAATAGATCTCTTAGTTTATCACTTACTTTAGATCATAGTTTATTTTTGCAAATATCAGATTATAATTTGTTAAGAAAAGTTGCACCAAGTATAAAAGTTTTTTTAAAAGATTTAGATAAAGAATTTGGTGATGGTAAATTTACTTGTTATTTATCTATTTTTGAAGAACAAGAAATTCATGTTAGTCATCTTACAATACTATCAGATTCTGAATATATTTTAATGAGTGTAACAGTTATTGAACATAGACAAATATTACATGATGAAGCAAAAGAATATAAATAATTTTTTTTTTTTGTATATTTTATTTACTTAATAAAATTGATAAAAATAAGTGATTTTATTAGTATTTTTAATGAAAAGCTTTAAGTGTAAAATTATACATCATAAATTGATTCTGCAAAATATTTTTTTGCTATTTCTGATGTAGTTTGAGCCAATGCAATTAAAATTAAATAAATTAGATCAAAATAATCTACAAGATCTCTGTATCTTTTTAACCAAGATTTTAATGCTGAGAAAGCTGTTTCAATAGGGTTGAAATCTGGTAAATAGGAAGGTAAATAAAGTATCCTACCATTAATATCTTCTATTGTTGTAACTAAATCATCATTATGATGTATGCATGCATTATCCATAACCAATACATTATGTTTAACTGAATAAGGATTCATTTGGGGTAACTAAATAAATAAAAGAAATTATCAATAATTATAAACAATTAGTATACAAATGCATATCATATTACCAATTGTGTTAAAATAAAGGTTTGAAATCTTTCTTTATCACAGCTTCCCTTCATAAATATCAACAGCAACAAAACCTTTTAAGGATAATGCAGGCAAAATAGTATAACACTTTCCTCTAACAAAAACAACATTTTTTTTTGCTTTAGTATTGATGGGGGAGTAGCCATACTATCTGGTAAGTGTTCTCTTATCTTTAGCTGTTTTATCAATAAAAATTAATTGTTCAGAAGTGTAATGCATTCCAATATTATATAAATAAAATCCATGTAATGCTTTACTCCTTTCTTTAGCTGCTTTTTGTATTTTTTTTCTTGTAATACCACAAAATTGAAGGGAACGCCATAGTGTTGGTATAGAAACTAGTTTTCCTATTCTTTGTTCCATCTTATATACCAACTCATCAAGATATCAATCTACTTTATCTTTAACTAATTCTTCTAAAACCTATACTATAAATTGTTAAATAATTAATGTTATCTAACAAAAAGTCAAATTCTAAGTCCTTACCAACATATCTTGTCATGTAAATATTTTTCTTCTTCCTACTCTACCAACAAATAGATCTCTTACACATCCCCACTTTTTAAAAATTCTACAGACTTTGTTAACAGTAGCTTCATTAACATACATTCTTTTAGCGATTTCCTTCTGTGTAAAACCTTCAGCCTGACAGTAAATAATTCGCCATCTTAAATCTTTACTTAAACTTTTTTCCATTTTGATCTAAAATTATTTTAGTAAGAGTTAATATAGTTTGATTTTAAAAGAATATTCATTATTTAGATTTAATAATTTAAAAATCGTAAAATTTGTGAAAATTCATTTTGAGAAGGTACTTATTTTTGTAAATTTAAAGGAAAAAACCAACCTAAGCTTATAAAAACTGAACTTTAGTAAGTAGAGAACATATATTTTATAACTATGAAAGAAATTCGCAATATTTATCATAAACTTTAAAAAAAATTCGCAAAAATATTGAAAATTCACAAATTTTTTATACGGTGTCACATGGTTGAAAATTGCACCATTTTGAAAATGGCGATAATTTTGTACTGTTGAGTGTCTGGCAAATTAAATAGTACAGTGGTTAGATCGTGAGATATGATATTGTAAGTTGAGGTAACTGGTTTGGTTCCTAAGGTGAGCAAAAATAAATAAATAAATTAAAATATACACATACTGTATAATCATATATATATATGCGTTAATATATGGTGTATAATGTGTTGAGCTACACATTAGAGTTGATTAACACATATATTAACATTATGTGTTGATATACTCAATATACAGGTGTTGATTAATATTGTAAATCATGTTGAACAACTAGCTAGTGTTGATCAACATGTATACTGGACTTCCTGATGTGACTGAACCAAATAAAGTTAATTGTTTTATCTCCCAGCATTTGAATAAGTAACAACGAATAGTCAACCTAGTGATATTAATATAAATTCACAATGACCTTCTTCATTAGGTAAAACGATAATTGCTGACATATTAACTGCTTTAGCACTATTTGCAGTATTATTGTGATGTCAAAGAAAACAATTAATAATAAATTTATTAAGACATTGTTAGAAATTTGTTAAATTTCTTGGTGTGCCATTGCGAAATTTCACGTGATATTGATTTAGTAATTTAGTAGTTCAACTAATTAGACATATAAAAGCTGTATAATATTATGCGTTTAGCAATATATGTAGCATTTTTTTTTTGATTTATGTCGTAAAAAGAAAAATCAGACGATATAAAATAATACTGAAGAATCGGATCATTATATACTGTATTTCATAATCATATCACTAATTATGTGCAAATTTGTTTCGTCATTTTTAAGAACTTTACTCATAGTATCTATCCGCAATACATTTCATAAATTTTACAAGCAAGAAGTTTAAATTAAAATGAATGAAAAAAATTATTTTAGAAATCATTAAAGTTTATCTATAATTATAATTCTGTTCATAAATAAATACGAAAGGTCTGTACTAGAAAATAACGACGAATGAAAGATGTGCAGATCTTACGAATGGGCACGTGATGCATCTCTATAAACTAATAACATGTGTAACTGAAATCTCTTCTAACGGAAACTTTTTCTTTTTCTTTTCCTTAAAATGAATGAAACGGATGATAAAACATATTCATGGGATGATCGAATAGATGACTTTATGTCTATTCTTTATAATAAAGTTAAAGATTCAAAAGATTCAAATAAATTTATTCCAAATAAGATTTTTCTAAATGTATCTTTATTATCAACTTTAATATTTTTATTTTTTGTAAACCATGAAAATAATGATGATGACATTTTCGTACAAATTAAAGATAAAGCAAAGGATATTACTTGTAAAGAAATTGTTGAAACAGAATTAAATTATTGGATAAGAAAATTTCAACCAATTAAAAAATTACTTTTGGAATATTTAGTCATTCAAGAAAATGATATAAGAGTCATTCATATAACAAACCTCGTCGAAAAATGTAACTTATTTTTTGAAGAAATCTCGAAAAATGAAAAAATAATGCATTTGATACCTTTTACTGTTACCTTTGCAATCATGCATTTTACTGTCCTAAGAGAATCTTTAAAATTACAGACGGTAATTATAATTATTATTTTCTTTTTTTATTACTTTTTTTCTTTTTTTATTCTTTTTAATGACATATAATTTTTTTTAGTCAAATTTCGGAATTAATGAGTTTAAAGAAATAATTTCTCGCTATAAAGACCATTTTACAAATTCTTTTAATCAATTCTTTGCATGGCGAACAGATCAAATAACAACGAAAACTTCTATTTCTAATGATTTAAACTCAACATCATTATTTACTTTTCAAGCTAATGGCGAGGTTAAAGATAAAGTTTGTAATAAAACAGTGAATTATTTTGCAAAATCTTCAAATGATCAAATATTCATAAAAGTATTTGACCTTATCAAATTAAGAATGTTTACAGAAGCAAAAGCAGATTTTATGAAGATGTTTTTGCATATCTTTTCGTTAACTAATTTCGTTCATGATTTTGAGCCTTCATATAATATTTCTTGGCCTCTTAGTATTAGCAGTTTTTGGGTTGGGCCATATGGTATTGATACCTTTCCTGATGGTTCACATAATTTTGATGATAATTCTAAAATATTTTATAATATATCTGAAGATGAATCAGGCGTTATCACAAAAATTGAAATAAGATGTGGTGGAATAGTTGATCATATTCAAGCTTTTTATGAAGATGGTAGAGTCGGTAAAAAAATTGGAAATGGAGGTGGATCAAAACATGTCGTTTCAGATCTGGATAAATCTTCAAAATATATTGTTGCTGTGAAATTAATGTTTGGTCTTGGACTACTTGGTACTATAGAATTTATTTTCAATGATGGAAATACTACTGGATTATTGGGATCTCTTCATGAAAATGATCATGATATAACTGGATCAATTCAAATTGGTCCATTTGGGAAACATAATAAATTTAGATTATCGAGCATTATGGGAGGTGGAGGAAAGATTAGAATAAACAAAGATTATGGTGAAAATGTTGCTCATGTAGCATTCAAATTTCAACATATAGATTCCGTTTGATTTACTATTCGTTCATTTAGAAAGTAATTAACTTTAAACAATGACAATAGCTTAGGTAAAAACTTACTTCCGTCCTTCTTTCCCGATGGCTCACATAATTTCTAAAATATTTTATAATATATCTGAAGATGAATCAGGCGTTATCACAAAAATAAAATTAAGAAGTGGTGAAATAATTGATCATATCCAAGCTTTTTATGAAGGCGGTAGAGCCGGTGAAGGTGGAGTAGGATATATCATTTCAGATCTGGATAATTCTTCAAAATATATCGTTGTCGCGAATTTAATTTTTGGAGTTGGACTACTTGGTACAATAAAATTTATTTTCAATGATGGTAAATCTGCTAAATTTGGAAAGCTTTATCAATTGCATCAAGTAACTGGTTCAAATTGGTCCATTCGGGAAACATAATAAATTTAGATTGTCAGGCATTATGGGAGGCGGAGGAAAGATTAAAATTCATAATGATTTTGGTGAAAATGTCGCTCATATAGCATTTAATTTTCAACATTAGATTCTGTTTGATTCACTATTCTCCATTCAGAAAGAAGTAACTAACTCTAAACAATGACAATAGCTTAGATAAAGATTTTCTTCCTTCTCTCATAATCAATGAATCTTTTCGACTGTTTGGATTTTCTTCTGTTCTTTTAATTTTTTATAAATGTAATACAATTTCTTTTTAAATCATTTGATTTATATTAAATCATATGCGAATTTAAAATTCGCAACTAATAAAGGAACAAAAAAAAATGTGATGTTGCGGTAACTTAAACTAATTGTTTAATCTTTACTATACTCTTGTTTTTTGCAATGACTCAAGAACTAGATCCATCAGTTAGTTGATTTTGAATACCTAATCTGAAAGATTAAGTATGAAACTATGAATAAAAATTAATAAAAGATAAAATTATATAAACTCGTGGTTTAGTTTATTGAAAAAAGAAACTTCTTTACTATAATTAAAGTTTCATTTGCCTTGCTAACTTTCCTGCTGATTGCCTTAACGAAATTTTTGAATCTTAGGGAAAAGGACTTTACGTTCATGCGTACTACTAGTTAATCGCTTCCGGTGTAAACTTTTGTTAGGAATTTACAGGAAAATCTTTTGAATTTATTACTTTAATTAAAAAGTCTTTCTATTTATACAATTGATGCTCCACAAAGCTTAAACTAAAAGTAGTATATGATAACACAGAAAATATATAATATTTTTTTGGTTATTATAGAGATCCTCCATATATACATTTATTTCTTATCGATCGCAAAAAGATTTACAATTTACCGGATATATTACGTTTAAAAAATTATGCACCACAACTGGAAAGATAATTTTAATTTCTGTTCGACAAAAATTTGAAGTACTTGTATATAATGTAATCTTACAATTATGTGAAGCCTCGCCCTATAAAAAATTTCATCCGTTATTTCTGTAAAAACTCCGTAAAATTGAGCCTTTTACGGATTCATTCACGGAAAATGAAAATAATTCGATAGATTCCGTGATATAAGGCTATTAATTCCGGAAATATGAGCCTTTTACGGAAAAAAGATGGAATATAAAAATCGGATAGACTTTTTCTACAGGGTCGTTCATTAATCAAATTTTCTAAAATTTAATCAAATTAGATTTTTATGGGAGAAATTATAATGTAAGTTTACAAATTTGAGAACCCAGTTTAGAAGCTTTGTTTCTACGATACGATAATGATAAAAAAACGATCGTCGAAAAATTTATCAGAACACGTGACGAATATCTATCTGCTATAAATAAGCGAATGTGTAACTGAAATCTAAACTTTTTTTTAAAAAAAAATCATGGATAAAACATATTCATGGGATCATGATCGGATGGAAGAATTTATGACTATTCTTTGTCATAATGTTAAAGCAGAAGATTCAAAAATTAAACCTGAGATATTTCTAAGTATACCTTTATTATCAACTTTAGTCATTTTGTTTTTTATAAAACATGAGAATAATGGTGATGACATTTTCGTACAAATTAAGGATAGAGCGAAGGATATTACTAGTAAAGAAATTGTTGAAACAGAATATAATAATTGGATAAGAAATTTTCAACCAATTAAAAAATTACTTTTGGAATATTTAATTATTCAAGAAGACGATATAAGAGCTACTCATATAACAAGCCTCGTCGAAAAGTGTAGTTTATTTTTTGAAGAAATTTTGAAAAGTGAAAAAATAATTCACTTGATGCCTTTCACTATTACTTTTGCAATCATACATTTTACTGTATTAAGAGAATCTTTAAAATTACAGACGGTAGTTATAATTATTATCTTTTTTATGAGTTTTTTTCTTAATTTTAATAATAAATAATATTTTATTATAGTCAAACTTCGGAATTAATGAGTTTAAAGAAATAATTTCTCGCTACAAAGATCACTTTACAAATTCTTTTCATCAATTCTTTACATGGCGGACGGATCAAATAACAACGAAAACAAAGATTACTAATGATTTAAATTCAACATCACTTTTTAAGTTTCAAGCTGAGGGGGAGGTCAAAGATATAATTGGTAATAAGACAGTGAATTATTTTGCAAAATCTTCAAATGATCAAATATTCATAAAAGTATTTGACCTTATCAAATTAAGAATGTTTAACGAAGCAATAGCAGATTTTATGAAGATGTTTTCGCATATTTTTTCGTTAGCTAATTTCGTTCATGATTTTGAACCTTCATATAATATTTCTTGGCCTCTTAGTATTAGCAGTTTTTGGGTTGGGCCATATGGTATTGATACCTTTCCCGATGGTTTACATAATTTTGATGATAATTCTCATCTACTTTATAATATATCTGAAGATGAATCTGGTGTTATCACAAAAATTAAATTAAGAAGTGGTGATGTAATTGATCAAATTCAGGCTTTTTACGAAGGCGATAAAGCCGGTAAAATTATTGGAGGTAGAGGTGGAACAGAACATATCATTTCAGATCTTGATAAATCTTCAAAATATATTGTTGCTGTAAAGTTAATATTTGGTATTGGATTTCTCGGTACAATAGAATTTACTTTCAATGATGGTAAATCTGCTAGATTTGGAAATCTTTATCGATTGTATCAAGTGACTGGTTCAATTCAAATTGGTCCATTCGGGAAACATAATAAATTTAGATTATCGGGCATTGTTGGAGGTGAAGGAAAACGAACTTTTGTGGCTCATATAGCGTTTCGATTTCAACACGTAGATGTTCTTTAATTGTGGTCCATAAATGCAATAAATGTTAATTTAATTTTATTGAAGCATATGATGAAATTAAAATGTAATTACAAAATTATAATAATCCAGATTCCAGAACAAACATAATGGTAGTAACTTAACTAATTGCATAGTTGCATATTGTAGTTCTTATGTATGAATGCAATGACAACCATATATGGAATCTAGATTTCAATAACTTGATTTTTAAATAGCTTAAATTAGTCTAATTCTGTAAGATAAATTACGAAAGCCAATTGATAATAAGATAATTATATTAACTCGAAATTTTAGTCTTTATATAGAAAATCGATAATCAAGTGGAAAAGAAAATTTTTCTTTATAATAAAAAATGCCTCGTTGAAATTTTAAATTTTATAGTTTTTAATATATTTATTGTTTGTACATCTAATATAATTCATGAAATTCGATATATTTGCAATAGTTTACCATTTTTTTTTGTTCCTTTTTTTGTCTCCTTTTAATTCTTCAGCCTTTTCTCTTTCTGTTCCCTCAAATTGTATTCAAATGGATCCGTGAATATAGCATCGAACTTCTTTCCAAAATTAAATCACGATGCCAAATTTCACAAAGAGCTTCTCCTGAATAGTGAAAATTTCTAATTCGTGTGGTTTAATTAATTATTCCAGATAATAAATTATGACGTAATGGTGAAATAACAACTGAAATACAAAATTCCTGACAACCATAATATCGACAGTTTATAATCCCGACACCAAAATCTCGATAAATGCAAATCCCGATAATCCTGACTGGGATGAGTTTGAGATTAGTTAATTTTTAATACAATTGTTTCTAATTTCAGAAGATTAGTAATCTATTAATATACTGCACATAGTTCTTTTAATTAAAATAAAAAATTTTTTCTTTTAATTTCATTAATAATATAGTGACGTTGGTTAATTTGCATAATATTAATAATTTTGCAAACAATTTGCATTGGTATTTATAAAATTTACAAATATTTTGCGTTAATACTAATCAAATAATCCAAATTATTTATATTGGATAAATTAAGACCCGTTACTTCAACCAGGATTTCGGGATTGTAAACTGTCGATATTATGGTTGTCGGGATTTTTGGTAAATCCTGTGAAATATATTACGCCAAATATTCATATTAAAATAGTAATACGGCACCGGTGTAATGCCGAATGCCGTAATATTCACCTCATTTATATATTTGTTTGAAGATTCATGTACTTTGCTTGCTCTAATAAAAGAATTCAGAAAAAGGATTCGTTGTGCTCAGGGATGGACCGGATGGTCAATAGAAATGCATGCTAGAAAGGAAAGAACACTCATTTCATAGTTAATCGAACATTTTTATGGAACAGTTTAAGACATGCCAACTAATTTTTGAGATATGTGTGATAATAGTTCCGCACCTGAAATCAGCAAAAATTACGATTAAATTTTTCTGTTCTAGAAATTGATAATAAATAACGATTGTAACTATCAATGCGCGTGTCAATTTTTTGGATCACGGTTTAAGTAATTTGATCATCCGTTATTTTATATTAATTAGGTTTTTTAATTTATCACTAATTATTTTACTTTTTAAAAAATTAATTTATAATAGAAATTTATTTAAATCTAACCGAATTAGAGAAATTCATTCATTAACTTTTAATATAAAACAATATTTCCCGCATTAAACTTAATCATTTATATAAAAACATGATTATTAATCGAAATAAAACTTGGCATTAGTTTCTATATTTGATAATTTTTTGCATTAAAAAATTTTATTATATTATTATTGAATAAATGAAAAAAAAAATGTACTTTAAAAAATATTCAATACTCATCAAAATAGTAACACCTCATATTCATGTTTATTGGTTAATTATCTTTGTGTTAATGAATTTTTTTTAATATAATTTGGATCATTCTTAAAAGATTGGATAAGTCCAATTACATTTTCGTTTTTATCGTACCAAATGCATAATAATATTTGGTCATTACTATTTAAAAAATACAAATCTTGGCTCTCACAAAATATTTTAACCATTTTACCTTATTTTGGTTACAATTATTCGTATATATATATATACACAAAGTATTATCTAAATATATGTCGTATATGCTGTCATTTTTTTTAGTGAATAACACGTGCAAGAATTTTGATTGGTGGCTTCAAACAAAGTCTTGTTCTTTATCCTTTTGACAACGAAAATCTCAGTTATAATATCCAGTCAAAAAGGATATAATATGATAAGATAATACAAAAAAAAAAATTGTGATTTTTTTTTTGTTTTTACAAATAATTCAAATTCATTTGTACGGTACATATGTTTACATAATTACGACAAGAAATTTATAATAACGATCCAAATTTCAAACGCATATAATTGCAAATCCAATATAATTGACAAATTAAAACAACATTAAATGTATTAATATGGTAAAATAATTAAAGTTTATCGTTGACCAACCTATTGTTTTGTTCACAAAATCACCCTTATTTTTCTCTCATTGGTGTTCATTAAATTATTAAGAATAATACCTAAAGGGTATAAAATAAAACAAAAATAATTAATTAATTAAAAAAAAAAAAACTTTAAATCGCATATATATTTATGTTAATAATTAAAGTAGGATAATAAAGTGTTCTTCAAATCAGGGAGTAATTAATTTACTTATTAATTTGTGATGCAAAAAATTAAGAAACTTCCGGATACAATGAGATTCCACAAATACAAATTAAGTATGGATCGTTAATTTAAGGTAAACAAACTAAAAAAATTATATAAAGAACATATATATAATATATTCACGTCCTTTCTTTCTTTTTTCATAAATTCAGATATAAATTAATCCATGATATCATATGAGAAAAAAAATTCTAAAACCATGATATCAACTAAAATAAAGTATATTATAATATTTATAATTTATTTTTCAAACTTTTGTTATTCCAAATATGTTCCTAGTGCAAGATATGGAACTTCATGTGTTTTGGATAAAAATAATAATATTATATATTTTATAGGAGGAGAATCGGGTGGGACAAAAAATTGTTTGAATGATTTCTTTTATTTAACATTACCAGATTCAAATATGCAACCAATATTCGAAGAAATAACAGAACCACCAAAAGAATATTGTTGGTCATCATTGTCATTAGCAGAAGGTGGAAAAAAAATTTATATCTTTGGTGGAACGAATGAAACAATAATTTTTTCTTATGATTTATATGGTTCAAAGCAGTGGAGTATACCTAAAATTGATGGTATTGCTCCTGAAGGTAGAAATCAATTTCAAACAGTATCTGATAATGAGAACAATTATTTGTACATTTTTGGTGGTGAAAAAAATAACAAATTTTTTAAGGATATGAACATATTAAATACAAAATATTCTTCTTGGAATAATATGATGATTCTTGGTGCTCAAAAAATTATAAATGTACCTTATTGGGCCGATTATACTGCTATAATGTTATCAAGCGGTGAAATCGTTTATATTGGAGGAAGACAATCCACCTCTCCAAACGGTTTAAATGTATCTTTTGCTAAAATGAATGAAGTAAGTATAAATTCATACAAAGTATAATGATTACAAAGAGAGAAATTAATTTATTAAAAAATATTTATTATATTTTTTTTTTCTTTAATAGATTTATGTCTTCAATACCAAATCATCAAGTTGGGATATAATCGTAAGTATTATTAATTCTTTTTTTTTTTAAAAAAAAAATATATATATATAAATCTATTTACCAATCGATTTCATTTGAAAGAATACTAGTGGAAATGTTCCTGATTCCCGTATTGGACATTCGGCAGTTTTAAATTCAAATAATGAAATTATTGTATACGGAGGCGCAAGCAGCGAAGACTTGGTAACTCTAGCTACTCCAGATCTTGTAATTCTCTCTATAGCTTCAAAACCTTATCAATGGATAATACCTAAAGTTGAAAATGTGCCAAAATCTCGTTCATTTCATTCGGCGGCAATAGTCGGAAATTTCATGATAACTACCTTCGGTTATATAGCAGGAACACAAAATGAAACAAATTTGATAAGTATATTAGATTTTAGCGACACCACAAATGTTCGTTGGACATCTTATGATATGATTCAAGCAAGTCAAACAGATAAGGAAGAAACGGGTTTAAAAGAAACTTTCATATCTCAAAATTTAGCCGTCATTTTAGGTGGTACAATTGGTGGGGTTGTAGTATTATCAGTTATAATAGTTGTTACAATCTTATTGTATAAAGCATGGAGATCTCATAGTAATATGAGAGGAAGACACCAACTTCCTTCTAGTCAAAGCTCTTAAATGCCGATCTGATCTTGTAGAGTATAATAGGACATTAAGCTCTTTAAAAAATGGTCGATTATCTTTGATAGATAAGCCTAAAATAGATTAATTACGATTAATAACAATTATAACAATTGTACATAAGCTTCTTACTTTTTTTCGCTACTCTCAAAAAAAGAAGAAAATGAATTTCCAATTTGAATGTAAACTATCCTTTTATCTACTTATTTTGTACATTATAGACATTTAATTTAATTCTATTATTACCTAATACAAATATATCACGCAATAAGAGGCGCAGTTAAAAATGGTATTCGTCTTGTCTAAAATTGTCGAACAAATAGTAAACATTTACTTAATCATATGATATACATTTATGGTATCACCTTTAAGTACTTACCTAATCTTCTAATCTTCGTTCAATAATAGTAATTTATGTTTTTAGATTAGGTTGTAAAGGATTTTTATAGAATTTTATTGGGCATATCTATCTATATATGATTGTTTTTTATTAGTTGTTTATGGTAAAATGCACATTTTAATACTTTATAAAGAAAAATTAAGTTTATTTGGAAATTTAAATATCTTTTGTGAAAAAATAATTTCCGTATTTGTAATTAATTTCTAATAATAACAAAAAGGTTTCGGCCGCCTTCACGACTAAAGCCGGAAATTGTGAATTGTATGACAAGATACACTCATTATAGTAAATTTTTGCCGCCATTCAAAAAAAAAAACCGGTTTTTTATAAACACAATGTTCACTTAAATTTTACATAAATACTCCCATGTAAAATGTACAAGGGGGACAATTTGAAAGAATTGTTTTTATTGTCGGTTCCTGCATAGTGTACAAAGGTAAACTAATTTTCTATTATACGAAATTTACGAATTTTTTTATTTTGAAAAATATTTACTTTTTTTTTATATTAATCTAAAGATTTTATTTTTTCCTTTGTTTTTTTTTTCATCACTTATTAAAAAAAAATTTTTTTTCGATTTTTAGTCTCACTTCTCTAAATACCCCTTGTTCGCCGTCTCTTTACTTTTCCTCCTCTACCTACTCGCAATTTTTTTTTTTATACTTACAATAATTCTCACCTCATGCCTTCACAACATAACGCAACAACTGCTTCTCTCTTAGAGTTTGACTCAAGCATACCATACAACATTTTTATACGAAATTTAAAATTATTACGGGCTGGTCAAGTCGTCGTTGACTTTAATATAATACTCGATAAGAATAGAGTTATATTTTATGGACCGCCTGATAAAAATAAGTCGAGGACGGTGAGGGGTAAAGTGAGGCTAGAAGTGGCTGGAAAGTTACATGTTAAAGTAAGTTATTATTTCATATTATTAAACTAAGAAACCCTTATGAATGTTTTGAGTTTATCGAGTTCATTGATACTTTTTCTCCATGGATGTTTATTATTGTGTCACCAACTTTTTTAAATATCCCTTTCTAACTGGTGTATATATGTACATTTATATATATGTATATACGTATTTATTTATTTATTTATTTATTTATTTTATTATATTATATTAGGAAATTATGCTCACTCTTGCAGGAGAATTCCATATAATAAATGAAAACTCTGATTCGATTTCTGATGAAAAACCACTCCAAGGAACATTATTTTCAACTTGCATTTTATTGGCAAACAAACGTACTCTTGTCCCAGGGATACACGAATTCTTTTTCGAATTTCTCCTCCCAGGAGATTTACCAGAATCTATGAGTTCGGATCTGGTCTTATGTGAGTACTTTTTGAAGGCTGAACTTGTCTCTCGAGGTCCAGATGATTTGTCAGCAGCTCAAAATAAGATTGTAGACGTTGTAGACTTATCCGTACAACGAACCTTATTACAAACTGATGAGCATATTAAACAAGGCCTTGGTGCAACCCGATATACCGGTTCAAGGGATAAAATTCTTGATTATGAATTCTTGATACCAAGGATTATGAAATTAGATTCTGATACTTTTACATTTCATGCACGATGGGATGGTCTTCGCGTTGATAATGTAAAATTTTGGTTTGTTCAAACTGAAAATTTTAAAAATTTACGATCGAAAGAAGGAGATGAATCGCTTCCTGATCGTAAATCAAAAATCATTTCTGGACCTTTCTGTTTCGATCTACCTAAAAAGGAACCTTTAAAATTACAAAGTAGACCAATGGTTTTCCAACTGCCAATCACTCAACCTCTTGTTAGAGATTATGAATTAAGTAATGTTGAAATTAGACACAAACTTGTTATCTCTATTCAAATGGCAAATAAAAATAAGGAATTGATCTCATTAAGTATTCCTATAACGATCGAATCAATAGTATCAGATGTAGATATGATACCACCACCTTGTCATATTAGTAAAAATAATCAAGCAGCACTTCTTCATTTTGCCAATAAAATTTATTCTGGAAAATCAATAGAGGACAACGATCAACCAAAATTATCATCATCTTCGTCTTCTACTCCTTCTTCTTCTTTTAAACGATTTATTCGAACTGAAAGAAGAAGACATACTGTCTTGATTGATCAATCCAGTGAATCAACAACGAAAGCTGAATCTGTCGACCAACCTACTTTTCAAATTTCACGAAGGTCTAGTAGTGTCGTACGAGGTCGCAGATCTAGCAATAATAATAATGTGAACGTAATCAATACTCAGAATTCAATTAGCACAATTATTGAAAGTGCTAGTGAATATTCCGTTGATGAATCTAGCCAGGATAACACAATTGCCACCACCGTTACTTACACAAATAATACTGAACATGAAAAGAACTCCAATGGTTTCCCACAAAAAGGAACTCACAAATCATCTTTCTCTGGCAATATGATCGCTGAAAAATTCAACAAGTTTAGAAACCGGGGTAATGCCAAAAAACGTATTAGTAGAGCTTCATCTTCCGCATCCACTGCTAGATTCGCCCCCGGATTGATTGAAGTTATTAGCATGCGTCCTGATACTAACATTGCTAACATTAACAATACTTCATTAACGACTTAATTTCAATGATGTATCGCGCAAAAAAAAAAGAAATCACAAACACACAAACATACAACACAAACAAAAAAAAAAATATTTTTAAAAATTAACCAAAAACTTACAAAAAATCATAGAGCACATAATCAAAAAAGTACATTATTAATTCCCCTTTATTGCATAAAAAATTTCAAAAATTTCAACTTTTAAAATTAATTTCTGTATATACACAAAACATTTCCTCTCACGTGCACATATAATATATCATTTTTTTTTCAAACATTATTTTTGCATGTATGATAAAAAATTTGATATGTGCTCCGTAGATTTTTTTGTATGAATTTATGAACAATTACATTTTTTTTTCTCTCGTTATTAATTTTTTTGGGATAGAGAGGGATATACTAAAAGAAATGACAATCTATAAAGATACTACTTAGTTTTTTTTAGAATGATTTTTGGGTTTATTTTTCTTTTTCCCTTTTTATTAGTTAATATTAGTGAAACAAAAAACAAAAAAAAAAAAGATAATATTTCGTATACTTCCAAAAAAAAACCTTATTAATTATCTCACATTATTTTATCATTAATTCATTTTTACACATTTGTTATTTTTTTCATTCATTTATTTTCTTAACAATCCGAATATAATTATTTTTATTATCTGTATGATTTTAATTTTTTTTTTTTTTTATTCATCCTTCTTTTATCTCGTCTTCCCTTCCTTCCTTCTCTTCCTTCCCTTCATTCCTTTTTTCTTGTAAATAATGTATTTATTTGTTATATATTAATTATCAAAAAAATTTGTTTTTTTTTTTTATAAAAAAAAAAAAAATCAAAATTTTTTTGTTATTCATTAGTAAGAAACAAAAATTTTTTTAATAAAATTATTAAAAAGAAAAAATAATTCTTTTCATTAAAATATTACACTTTTTTTTTTTATTATTAAGATAATAATATTAAAATGTTTTGGAACAATATACTAAAATATAATTTACAATTTTTTATATATATATATATAGTAGATAAAATATGTACACATATTACAAGTATATGCAAATAATAAGATGAATTAATAAAAAAAATAACCTCTTTAAGAAGCTCAGCTTCTTCTTTAGAATGAATTAATCATTTCGCGTAATTTCGTGAAAAAATGCTGCGCCATAATTTCTTTTTTTCATGAATTCTTATTGGGAAATCAAATTATATATTTGATCTGTTCACGGAAAAGGAGCTGAAGATTGAAAAGATGAATTAATTAGTTGCATCAGCTGATAGAACACCCTTATTCGTTTCAATTTAAAAAATATAAATATATTTTTTACAATAATTCCACTTACATGTTTATTCTCCGGGGGCGTAATCGTACTATTTATGTAATAGTGGAATGATCATATGAAATTTATATTTTATTTATTATATTGCGTGATCCACAATGAATAAGACACTAAACGAAAATAAAAGCTAAATGGCGAACTATTAATAATTAATTTTAGTCATCAATAAAATTATAATTAGCCAAATATATATTTATAAATCGTATGAGCGGATAAATAAAGCCGAATAAGAGAACCGAATGAGTGATAGTTTGTGCGACTCATCTACATATGACCCATATTTGAAGTTCGGAATTATAATTACGCGCGATCTGTAAATTATAATTTTTAAGGGACGCGTTTTTATATATTTTTGGTTTAATCATATTATTTTAGTGGTTTATACTAGCCATAAAAGATGATATTAAATAATTTTTTTTGTAAAAATTAAATCCGATTATAAAAATATAAATAAAATAAATAAAATTCAGGGAACTGAGCCCCCTTAACCAGGTTCACACTAGATCCAAGCCTGAAAAAAATTCAATAATGGTGTTCCGATTGCTCGAATGTAAGTAAAATATTAAATAAATTTTTAAGTACGACAATTTTTTATTCAAATAACTGAAATCGCTCATTGTTTTTTTTTAAAAGTTTGAATTCCACTTTGTTCGATGCAGCGTTACACGCATTATTACATTATTTTAAAAACAAACAATAAAAACTGAATTTAATAAGATATTTGATAAAGAAATTTTACTGAAACATATCTATCTGCAAATTCATTATCTTTAATATCAAAAATTGAAAGGATTTTATCTTTTTATATTTACAATTTAAGAATTAGTTTTTCTGGTCACAATTTTACTAAAAATATATTCCGAATAATTGTATGCAAATCTTATATTTGACTTCTTTGTTGTAATAAAAAATTTTGCTAAAATTACAGGTGATTATGACGATGCAGATTCTTGTCGTAACTTATCAGTGCAGAATTTTTGCGTCATTTACTATTTCCATATAGAGATCTTAAACATCATCACATTAACTGATAGCAATATGATTTCAATTCCTTTTCTATATATTATGGAATTGATACCGTTTCAGATTCATGATACGAAACTTTAAGGGGTAGGAGTAGCATATTTAATATATTTAATATTTATTTTTAATGTAAAAAAATTCAAAAGCAACTCCACAGAATAATGGTATGAATTATAACATTCTATAATTAGAACGTTTTCTAGATTCATTATTCACCCGCATAAAAATATCAGGGATAAAGGGATAATGTTTCGATATCATAAAAATAGAAATGTGGCGATATTGGATTATCATTAACTTACATGATTTTGCATTTCATATGTGATTACTTTTTTTAAACTGCGCCACATTTTTTTTGTGATTCCCTTTATTAAATCTTTCTTTGCCTTTATTATACAACATTTACGCAAGTACAAGAAATTAACGAGATCCATGTTAATTCAGATCTACTTTGCTGTAATCTTTTTTCTTTTTTTTTTTTCCTAGTCAAGGTTCAATAAGACCCCCGAATATCTCTCATTCATGTCAGATGAAAATTACTCTGTATTATCTCAGTAATATTAAAACTAATTTGGATTATTGGTTAGCTTAGAAATCATGATATGCAGTTTAAAATTTTTGAAAAATACCCCTGAAATAAAAAAATTTTATATGATCAATAAGCATGATTTATACATTGATTGAGCAAACTTATTTTAGAATATTTATGCAGGAATCAGGCCATTAGGCACAAGCCTTACCTAGTTGGCGAATTTCGGAAAAACGTTCAACTTTATCATCACCAAGACTGCCGAGGTAGTGCCATGACCAAAACCTAATAGCCAAACGATAGGGTCACCAATGCTCGCTTATTCTATCAGAGCAAACAGTCGATTAGGAATATGCAAGATTTTAATGACCGATATTTTGAGACATCAAATCAGATTAGTAGCATTAATTCCAGTAATCCCAGTGTCCGATCAATAACTCATTGGATGGGGATATCGGTTGAAGTCTGATATCTCTATTCCCCATCCAATAACCATTAAATATACCATAAGGCATAAGCTCTTACATTTTCAGTCATTTGCAAAAAAAAGGATATAAAATTTTTTAATTAGTGAATATATTTATATATAGTATATTAATTAAAAGATATATTGTAAAAATTACATCTTAAGTGGTTCCAATCGAGCGAAAATGATAATTTATGTTTGATTTAAAAGCTTTACTTAATTATATGTATATTAAATAATTAAATATTATTTACCCGATTATAAATTCTTCGATAAATGCACATTAACTGGGGCACTTGTTCTTCACTTAAACATAAATTAGTGAATTGCTTCTTTCTTATTAATTTAATTACAATTCGTAAATTTGTAAACTTTTTCCGCCATATTTTTTTTAGATTCGCCCGCATTGACCTTTAAACTTATATTTACATGCAATCTGTAAATTGCTATTTGAAATAGACGCGTTCTTTATATATTCTAAATTTATTTATTTAAAAATTACAATATTTAAGTCATTAATAATAAACCTAAACGTCTTTAGGAAAAGGTAACTTTGTGATAGAAATAAAATATAACACCATAATAATTATTTAAATATAAAAAAATTCAGGAAATTAGGCAGGACAGCAGCGGATCCAGCCCGAAAAAAATTATTATTCGAATGAATGGTGAAGTACAAATCATTAAGTACGACGGTTTTAATAAATTTCTTAGTGAACATTCTATCAATCATTAATTTCAATCATTAATTCATTTACAAAACTTTCTTTTTTCTTATGAGAGAATATGACAGAAACATCGCCTATTTTTTTTAAAAAAAAGAAACCATTCGATAACATTATACAGTACATTCAAATATCTAAATGTTATAAGATCTTTTAATATTAATTCCTCTTTTACCTTTATTTACGATATTTTGTAATCAATAAAGTAATTTATTTTATCAAAATATATAAAATATATCTGATATTACAGTTTGATATATATATAAAAAATAAAAATAATTGTTATTAAATATACTAAGAAGTGGGGAGAATTTAGGTACTATTTACTTTTTTTTTTTTTTTTTTTTTTTTATCTACATGAAATTTTGTTCGGTCCAGCCATTAACTTGAATAATCATGATTAAAAAATAAATTAATTTGATTTTCTAACAATTGAATACGTTTTTCAATATTCAAGGTTTCAAGCGTAGAAAAATTTTCAATTGTGCCTTGTTCAACTAAAGATAATAAATTAAATATTTTTAATACATAATTTATAAATATTTTTTAAAGTGTCAACTAAATACCTATGTCAATAAATCCATGTTGGACTAAAGTTTGGTAAAATAAATTTTTTTGCAATTCTAATATTTGTATACGTTGTTTAATATTCGCATAATTGTTTGTGCCTGATCCTGTTACAACTGAAAAAGTAAAATATTACTATTATAATATACGACTCATAAATATTTTATGTATAAAAAAAATAATTAATTACAAACCTGTTTCTATAACATGATATCCACTTTCGTTTAGAATTTGATAAAATGCGTAAAAATTTTCTTCTAAGGTTTGAACACGTTGTTCGATAATTAGGCTTCCATGTGTAAAAGGATTTTCTTGTGGTAAATACGGGAAACATGCTTCATTATTGTTTGAAACTTGACAAGGAGATTGTTCTGGCACAAGATCAGAAGGATATAATACTAGAGGTGTCAAATTAGATTGTTGTTCAGGTGTAAAGTAAGAAAATGGATTCTCTTGTTGTAGTAAAGGTGGTGAAGGAATAAAAATATTGTTGCTAGAAATCGAAGATGTAACAGAACCATTTTCTTGTTGTATCATAATATTATGCAGAATTTTTGCATCAATTTCTATTTCTTTATAAGTATTTTTAACAATAGCAGGCTCTGATTTCCATAAATTACTTGCAATATTAGAAACATTCTTTCGTTCAATAGTAATATTTTTTGATTTACATTCCATTCTCACCGCTATTCTATATATTATGAAAGGGTTTGGAACTGATTTGTAATTTAAAAGCTCATAAGCAGTAATATTAGGTGGAAAAGGTGGTCTGTATTGATTTTCAATTTTTGATAAACTCATTTTTTCTTGAGATTAATTTTTATTAAAAAATGGAAAAAGAAAAAAAAAATGATGAAACAAAGATTTATGTCCTTTTAATTTATTTTTATCATTATTCGTTGCTAACCAGTAAAAAAAAACAATGCCATTGTTCTACCGGCAAAAATGACAAATGACAATTATGATTTGTTTCGGAAAATTGAATCGATCCGGGGATCTCTATTACAAACATGCATAGCATCAATAAATGATTAAGCCCATTTGTAAAGCTTATTTTAAAATTTTGTACATCATTTGATCACAAGATGATTCAATGGAATCGATAACAATAAATAGATTGTTTACGTACTGATTACATTGTACGTAATTTGAAGTATCATTAAAAATTTTTTAAAATTCTATACATGGAAAAAAAAAAAATTATGGCATGTTATTAAACCTTTTTAATCTAAATTCAGAAATCATTCTTATAATAAATGCTTAATCATATTAATCATATTCCTTATCTTTAATCTATACTCATTGTCTGAAATTTTTTTAAGGGGTAAAGTAGCAATAATAGATGACATCAATAATTGCGTATTTTTTATTTTATTTAGCATGATCTATAATCAAACTCGTACAAATATCGGAGAAAATTTGTATCCAATATTCCTATTGATGGTTGCCCGTGATAAATTGTAATAACTAAAATAGAAATGAGTTACAATTTCATATGCGACTTCTAAGGATTCATTCATTTAGATCATTTAAATTATCTAGAAAATTTATAGATCACATGATTAAGAAATTTTAGTCAAAAGGACATTAACTATTATAAAAATGTTTGGATCTTATAATCTTATACATAATTGGGCGAACCTAAATATATACTGTACATGTTCTATATATATCACTTTACGGCATAAGCTGTCTTTACCTAAAGTTACCAAAATTGAAGTATTATTTAATAGGGAGATTCTGTTTTCCCAACACCGATAATATTCATCCTTAACGTATTTAAACAAATTAGCACGGAAAATACCATTTATGATATAATAGAAAATTTTATTACCATGCTTTTAATGAAGTTAATTAATTTATTTGACATGAATTTCATGTTATAAGAGAAAATTTTATAAGAATTTTTGATTGGAAGAAAAAATTTTATTAATTTATTATATTTTTTTTATTCGGCAATTATTATTATGGAGTTTTATACGCTATTTAATATTTATTTAAATATATATTATACTCGTAATTATTACACGCTCATTAGGATTGTGCGGAATTCATTGTATCGATATTTTTTTTATCATGCCCGATATTTTTAATGATGATCGACAATATAATTATATTAGCACTAATCCTATATCACGTATAATAATATTGTTATTGAACGGGGCTATATCGGCCTTCGGCCGATATTTTGACGCCCCATTCAATAACATACAATTATAATACTATAATTGATATTATATATCGCACCAATTATTTGTTTCTACTATGAAGAATATTTCGAGTTTAAATTTTTAAAGGATGATTGTCAATGAGGTTGTCTTTCGTTCTCGCGGTCGAAAGTATGTATTTAAAGCACTCTAACTAAAAAAGAATATCCTTTATTGTTCGTGTCTTTCGGTCGAATGATTTTCGGGATCAGAATTATGAGTTTTGATGGTGAGTGACAAGTAGTCAGGTCTTGTACCAGACCTAGTTGCTGACAACACTAATCTACTCAGAATAAATGTTCAACCTTTTTACGACCAAGTGAGGATCATAAAACATCTGGCCCGGGACAAACTGATTTAGTTACACGGACAAATCTTTAACCAAACGACCATATGTCAATATTGGACATTAATATATTCATTAAATGGCTATGCTTGTCTACTCATTTTTTTCGCTTTTTGTATAATCCAGGCCGTTACGTTCAATTTATCTTTTAGGATACCTTAACATACTCAGTAAGGTTGCGTGCCGTAAGTATTGATTATTATATTTCGAATTACAACCTAAGCGGGTTGTAATATTATAAATATAAGTTGTAATTCGGTTGTAAATACTATGCTATTGTGGTTAACTAAAAGATGATAATTCTGATTTACAACCATTATAATTACTTGATTTTTAGACTTACAACTATTTACGGCAGGCAACACTAATACTCAGTGCTCATTATGAATTAGTATAAGGCGCGTCCATATGAGACGCGTTTCTGTCAGTTGTTCTGTGTTCATCGCACATTATACTACAAGTTTCTATATTGCTTGACAAAAACCCTAAAATGTACCAAAAAATTATTTCACTTAAGAGATATAAAATATTTCATAATGAAATATTTTATTTTCATTTTATTAAAATTATGTCAAAAATTAATATAATGGAGCACTCTTTTTTCGATAAGGATTACATACTAATTAAGCAGTGTCAATTCCCAACAAACAAAAATGGATATATATAATTAAATAGTATTTATCCCGAAGATATTAATGTACATTGTTCATTATTTAAGATTCTAAATTATTTTGTTGTAAATAAGGGCATACCGAAAAATTTTCATTAAAAATTCGATTCAATTAAATTCAAAATGAAGATTATTGTCCTAGAGTTTGAGCACATTCAATATTTGTGTCAGGTGCAAGAGAAGAATAATTTAATTTTGGAGTTGTCAAATTTCAAATGAAGATTGTTGTTCAAGTGTAAAGTAAGAAAATGAATTTTCTTATTATGATAGTAAAGGTGGTGAAGGAGGAAAAATATTTTCACCGGAAATCGCAGATGTAACAAAATCATTTTCTTGTTGTATCATATTATACAGAATTTTTGCATCATTTTCTATTTCTTTATAAGTATTTTTAACAATAGCAGGTTCTGATTTCCATAAATTACTTGCAATATTAGAAACAAACTTTCGTTCAATAGTAATATTTTTCGATTTACATTCCATTTTCACCGCTAATCTATATATTATGAAAGGGTTTGGAATTGATTTGTATTTTAAAAGCTCATGAGCAGTAATATTGGAAAAGGTGGTCTGATTTGTTCAATTTTTGATAAACTCATGTTCCTTTTTTTTTCTTGAGATTAATTTTATTAAAAAGAAGGGAAAGAATGTTAAATCCAATTTATGCCTTTTTATTTATTTCATTCGTTAATTCAATAAAAAAATGGTATTATAATTTGTTTAATCCTGCAGTCGGAAAATGAAAATTGAATTGATCCGTTATTATTATATCAAGAAAATTCCATAGTATTTACATGAAATTTCGTACAACAGATAAAATCAATAGAATCAATAACAAGTAATAACAGGAATATTCAAATCTTATTTAATTTGTTTTTAATTTCAAAATGTTTACGTACTTTACCGAATTATAGGTAATTTAAAATTATCATCAAAAATTTATAAAATTCTGTATAAAAAAAAATATATGACATGTGTTATCAAATCTTTCTAATCTAAATCCAAAAATCATTCAAATCATTCTTAAAAATGAGTAAATGCTAATCATGTTTCACTTTCTTTAATCTAGATTCGAAATCAAATTTCTTTACTTAAAAAATATGATTGTATCTTTGAAATTTTTTAAGGGGTAAAGTAATACGAACAAATGGCATTCACAATGGCGTATTTTTATTTTATTTATTGATGCAAATTTGATATGATTTCTATAAATCTATAATTAGAACGCTTTCATATTTCGTACAATTATCGGAGAAGAATTTGATAAATATTCCGATTAAATGACATGACCTGAATGACTCGTGATAACTTTGTAATAATTAAAATAGAAATGTGGCTCAATTTCATATGTATTAGTACGCCTTCTTAAGGATTCATTGATTTCATATATTTAGATCATTGATTATCAGAGGATATTTCTAGATCACGTGATTTGTGTTTGGTTATTAATTCAAGGAAGAATTTTAGGCAACACCGATAACATTCATTCTTAACGTATAAATAATTTAGCACGGAAAATACCATTTATTGTATAATAGAAAAATTTATTACTAAATTATTCGTAATCACATTTTGAGCGAATGACTTTTCATCATGATTGAAATGATAGTTGAGATTGAGTTTCGACTTATATCTTATGAGAGTCACATAAGGGGTTCTCAAGATGGTAGAAAAGGCAAAGAAGGATATATATATAATGATGATTTAGTTAACTGTAAAAAATTAAGTGCAATTACATGAATTATAATATCAATCCCGGTAAGTTTGGATTATGGGAATTACTACATGATTTTCAAATTCAACATCGCTCAGAAAAAGCAATGTTGATACTTTATCAAGAATGTATGTATGAAGGCAATGATGTTTAAACTTTTAGTTGTTTCATGCTAGAAGCAATAGACCTTTAACCTTGGAAGAAAATTCATCGTCAAAATCCTACCATTACTGATAATTTCGATATAAAATATGATATGCTGTAAATTTATACTTTATTTTTAATTTCATGTGGATATTTTAATAAAGATAATTAATTTTACAATATTTGACATAAATTTAATGTACCGTAATAAGTGGAAGTCTTATAAGGAATTTAATTGGAAGAAAAATTTTATTAATTTATTACGAAATTTCTTTATGATGAAGGTTATCAGTGAGGTTGTCTTTTTGGGCTTATTATCGTTCTTGTAGTCGAAATTATGTGTAGGTCTTTGAAGCATTTTAACTAAAAAGAATATGGATGATTTTATTTCAAGATCGGGATATTTCGGGATTATGAGGTTTTGAGGCGGCTCATAGTCGACTAATTGCGAGTAACAACTATTTGAAGATTTCTATTTTTTATGAAGTACAAGAAAGTACAACAAACCATGTCGACATTACCTGTCGGATTATGTTGAATTCGGGATCCTCGTATCTTAGCCGCTGATATCACTAATCTACTGTTATAAGCCGTTATGATGGCAAATAACTTATTAACAAAGCACATTTTACTTGCGTTATGAGTAAAATGAACATTATTTTTTTTCTAGAAATTATAAAAAATAATTTTCACTTTTATCAAGCGATACATAACGAGCATCAGTAGTATAGTCTAAGAAAATGGGTGGGCGCCAATACAGTTAAGTAAAATACGATTTTTTTTTCGTGATCTTTGATCTTCGCATATCTACAGTATTTAGTTATACGAAAGATTCTAGAACGTGCAAGATCGATACGAGTTAGATAATTAGATCTTATTCTATAAATGTATTTACTTTGATATAAAGAAATAAAGATTTTAGATCTAAAAAAATAAACTAGTAAATATTTAATAAAAGAAGGATCACTCAATCTGCACCGCATTTGTATCTTCCAACTTTTGTTTGTTACACTAGTAATATTTCACGAAAGTCAAACACGAAATTAACGGAATCATGTTCATTCATACCTAATATCATATCTTTTTTTCTATCTTATTTCGGAATATTTATGCAGCAATCAGTGACAAGATTTTGAAGTATCATCTAGTCAACCAAGAAATTTCTTTCCCGGAAAAAAGTTCAAACCTTACCATAAAGCATCTGGCCGAGGCAATCTGATTTAGTTATTACACGGCGGCCATTCATAAAAGAATTTCTGTGTACACTATATATTAATTTTTTTTAAAAAATACGGGTGGTTTATAGTATTTGTGTTTGGTGAAAAAAAAGTAGTCTGCGAGAAAATTTGTCTCATTATAACGAGTAAATTATGCATCAATGATGAAAAGATTTATTATATGTTTTTCGGAAAATATCTGCATTGTTTCATAAATAAAGAGGAAATATTTTCTCTAAAGAAAATGATAATAAAAGTTGATATTACCAACCGACTAGTGGTCATATTTTCGTTTATAGTGTCTAATTTTCTTAACATATTGTTATGAAGCGAAGTGAACGAAGTGAACAGTGAGATGAGTAATGTGATTGTACAGTATAAAAAGCTTTTATAAGTTGTTGTATAAAAGAAGTACATTAAGATATACATATATCTTACAAAATTAATTCAGAATTACCGCGATTTTGACTAAATTAGGTGGTTGTAGTTTTTTTTATTAAATGCTATTTTTGTGTTTTTGTATTTGCTTGTTTATTAGCGTAGTTACCATTGGGTAAGGAGAGTTAGGCAGTCAGGACAGTGTCGGGACCAATAGGATTCCGCTTCGTTTTTCGATTTGGCCTCGGCTTTTTTTTGGGGGAAGAATATAAAATTTAAAATATTTCATTATCCGTTGAGAATTACCGGTTTAATTTTTAATTTTTTTTTTTAGTTGATTCGTCAATGAACTGCTATTTAAAAGGCGACGATAAGTTCATATAATATACACCTTAGTAGTAATTAGGAATTTAACATTCTTCAATAAAAGATACCTAACTGATAATGAGTTAATGTAACTTGAATATAATTATTACTATTAGATCACTTAGATGCGTAACGAGACAAATTCAAATACAGTCAGATAAATTTTTTTCCTTAAACCGAATTTTTGCCTTTGAAGAGTATCTTTAGATAAATTTTTTTTTCCTTAAATCGAATTTTCTGCTTTTAGAAAAGTATCTTTAGATTTTATTAAAAAGTTAAGTAAACAACGTACAGCCAGCTCTCATTGTAACGAACCCTCCGGTTTTCATCTCAAATTCGCTACAAGATTATAGCGAAGAATTCAAAGAATTTAATTGGCTGATTCGTTATAACGAGGTTTTACGTATTTGATTGGTTAAATGTCACGTGTTGGAAAATTTCGCGAGTTCGTTATATCGAGAGTTGACTGTATCTTCAGTTTACGGTGTATCTTTATACTGTATATAAGTTACCCACATTAGAGATGGGCATATAACGATTATATAATATATATAACATTAATATAACATTGAAATCATATAACATATATAACATATATGATATTATATAAAGTTATATAGCAACAGTACAGTATATAACATACTATATAACATATATAACATTATATAACAGTTATATAGCATACAGTATATAACATACTATATAACATATATAATATTATATAACAGTTACATATATTAGGTTATATAACATACTATATATAACTGTTATATAATATTATATATAACATATATAATATTAATAACAGTTATATAAAATATATAACATTTATGATTCATAAATAAAGCTAAAGCAAAAAAACTAAAAAGTTACATATTAAAAAAAGAAACTTGGAAAATAACTCGGCATCTAATTGATATTCATCCTTCTATAATTACTACTGTAGATGTTGATTCAACGTGCTCAAATTGCTTATGGTTATATAATAACTGTTATATGACCGTTATATATGTTACTATACCATGTTATAACTCTTTGTTATTTAACATGGCACATCTCTAATTACTATGCGGTTATAAAATTATTGGATAGTAACGGAATTTATTACCCTAAACGGTGTGTTATAGTACCCGGATCTTCAACGAGATATCATTATTTTTCTAACTCAATCTTCATTAGCATTGGACAAGTGGCGCCTGGTACAAATTCTATAAAAAATTCATTCCGTGTTTTTTTATTCCTGTTATTTCCGTAAATATATCATATTCACGGAATTTATGGCATCAAAAGATGAAAATCATCCAAGTTGCTTAGACTTTTAGTTATTTTTCCGTAAATGTATCGTTTTTTACAGAAATTAGTATCGAATAAAATTTTTTACAGGGAAACGCTTTTTGGATGAAACAGATTCAAATACTTTTGTTAAATTAAAGAAAAAGATGAATCTATTTTTTATTATGGGTACCATACTTTGGGGGATACTTTGAATTAAGGAGGTGTACAATTAGAAGTTGACTAAACTTGTTTATGATCGAAAGGGGGGGTCATTCTTCAATTCAATCTAATCATAAATTTTTTACATTCCCCTTTGTATAACCTAAACACGTATAAATACGGGATTTATTTTCTTAGCTTTTTTTAGTACAAATGAATCCGATTATGAAAATGAATGTAACAATTTTAAAATAAATACAATATAATAAAATAATGATAATAATGATTGTATTCGTAATAAATATCATTAAATATAATAACCCCTTAAAGTATAATAATCCCGGGTACAATACAAATTAAGAGAATTTTATAATCTTCATGCATAAGTAAATCAATTTTATGGGCAGGGTACTGTACTTTAGGGGGCAACTATAGTCCACCATGAATGGCCCATAAATATTATTATTGGAAGATTAATTTAATGCGGCATTACGTACCAGTTATTAGATTCTTTTAAATTATTGATAGGTTTAATCATTTAATGATAACGATTGGTACTTTATTATCGAAATGCAAGATTTCGCGTTATTAAAAAATAAATTTCAAGTTAATATATGGTAATTGTTTTTTAGCATTGCAGATTCTTATGGAATAATAAAAATTATTATCCCTAGGATACAACTAATACATAAAAAGATCTTTTTTGATACTTTATATCATAATGACGAAAGAAACCAGATCAGTCAAAGTCATGTATGTAATTTAAAAGATCAAAGCGTATTTGATATGAAAGAATATTGAAAGAATATTTATTGCATAAGTTAAAATTTGTACTAAAGTACTTTAAAAAAATATATATATATATATTTTTTCATTCATAATCACAGCAGCTATTGAGTGACGACTTAAATTCAGTTAAGGATTAAAAAAATTTATTAAATCAATTAATCAATTCCTAAAAATAGTACGTCTATAACTATTTATAGGGATAATTGTATAATCGGAAAAAAAATCAATAACGGAAATTTCATCATATACTGTATGTATCATAAATTAACTATTCCGAGGGAGTTTGAAACCGAGAATTATACTAAAGTTATGAAATATTCCGATAAATAAATATATATATATGTATGTATATAATCATATAACAGATAAAGAAATTTTATTAAGCTCTTTGTTCTCACTTCTCATTTATATACATTATTCGACTAATTTATTTATAACTTTGTTCTAATTTCCTTTGTATTAATATGTTGTGTTTCAGAATATAAAATAACTGATGTCACCTTTAAGGGTATCAAGACATCAAAATTGGGAAATTAATTGAGAATTAATTAAGAATTAACTGTGAATTGATTCTAAAATTCTGAATCCAATACGATACCTAAATTCCATTTACAAAATTTATAAAAAAAACTTATTCTCCATATTTGTAACAAGTATTATCGTCACCCGAGTCACAACATGATACTACTGTAACGATATACAATATAAAATCATTTTATTTGATATATACATATATATATAATATATAAATGTATATATATATATATGTGCGTGCGCGTGTTTATGGGAACATTCTTTCCATTCTTTTTCGATAAACAGGTATATAAAAACGTACAAAATGTAACAGATTCAATTATGCACCAAGAATTCAAAATCTATAAAATCGTTACTAGATCTGTGACAATGAATTATTAATTATTATTATTAAATAATTTAATATATATATAATATATATAATTATATTTTAGTTTAAAAAAAGTTTTTTTAACTACGAGTTTCATAAATGAACTAATTTAGTGTTATAATTAATAGTGTTAAGATGGGAAACAATTGTTATTTAAGATTAACTATGCATAACTGATAAGGTTTTAACATAAAGAATTCCCGATTATGTTATATATAATTATAATAAATTTTACAAAAAAATCGTAATGAAACAGATTGAAAAATTGAGTGCATTATAAATTAGTAATAAAGTATTGTATTAGTAATTGATAATTAATTAACTTTTTTTATATTATTAAGATTTCGATTATAATAGTATGTAATAAGAAATAATAATAATAATAAACAGTTATCGCACAGTTATCGTACAGTTATTGCACAGTTATTGCACAGTTATCGTATAGTTATCGTACAGTTATCGTACAGTTATCGTTACTCTCCCGTGATCCCTTTTGACGCTCAACATCTTAAATAAATATAATGAATACAATCAATCATTTTTTATATTCTTCTCTTAATATAAGGATGATAGTTTAAAAATATATTTTATTTAGTTTTTTAGATTATTTAGATTATTTCTTTCTTAATTTCCGCTAATTCCACTTTTCTTGTTCATCTGATCATACAATATGAACAAAACCCGTTTTGAAATACCATCATATGGGTAGTAACTGGTAACATCAACAATTCATCAACATTTAATTAAAATATTTAATATGTTTAATATACTTTAATATACTTTTGTAACACCAAGTAAAAACTTTTCTAAATATGTAACAAAAAAAATAAAAACAAATTTGTAAAAAAAAAATTAAAGAATTTTTTTATTTTTAATTTATTATTTTTAAATATTGATTTTCCTATTATGATTACTTTCTTTAGATGATTTCTTGTTTCAAAAAAATGATTTTCTTGTTTCAAAAAAAAAAAAATGATTTCTTGTGATTTCTTGTTTAAAAAAAAAAAAAAAAAAAAAAAAAAAAAAAAAATTTGATACTATACCATATTTTAATAAGTTGATAATTATAGTAATTTTACTCGCATTCAAAAATTATTATTCATGGGTTAGTGAATTTTTATATATATATTACGTAATAAAATAAAAAAAAATAAATAAATAATAAATAAACAAAATAAATAAACCATTTACAATAAGATAATATTTTATTATTTATCAATGAATATTAATTTAATTTGTACTTCTAACCTTGCATTTTTAAGGTTGTACGATCATTTTTTTTAGTTTTAATTCTCTGCGAATTTTAATTACCGAAATATGTATATCTCATAGTAATATAGATTTTTTTTCTTAAAATAAAATAAATAAAACGAAAATAAATATATTACAGTAATACCGTAAAAAATCTTTTTTTTTGTTTTTTTTTGAAAATTTTCTTTTTTTAAAAATAATGATAAAAGGAGTTTCTTTTTTTTTAAAAAAAAGGGAGGGGAAATAAATAAATAAATAAATAAAAAAAAAATAAATAAATAATAAATTAGTTTCTCTCAGCCCATCGCTGGATCACTAAATGTAAAAATGCTAATATAATTAAGAATGCTATAATATACAATAATTGAATATTATTAAATAAACATAAAAAAAAAAAAAATCATACGATTTTTTTTTCTTTTTTGCTTAATCCTTTTTTTTTCTCTTAAAAAAATATAGGTGGTGGGTTAAATGATAAATTTTATTTCGATATTTTCGATATTTTATATTTTCGATATTTTCGATATAAAAATGTCATAAAGTTGTAAAGTCTATATTTTAGATATAACTATATACAGTAAGTAATTCTGCATTTTGTGATATTTTATCTGTAGAAGAACGTTGATGATCCAATACAATATTTGATGTACCGGTTTTCATCATGTTTACGGTCTGTTTTCTTTTAACATTCTTCTTAAAGTTTTCAAATACTTTACGTTGAATTTCTAATTCTCTTTCTTTATGTGAAAATTCTGCTTCTTCTAATAACCAACATTTTGAAAATATTCTACATAATCTACAACTTGATTTGTCATGTAATTGTACTGCTATAGATTTAAATATTGAATCTACTACTTCTGCTCTTAAAAATAATGAATGTTTACCCCCTTCAATTAATGTTAATTTACAATCTGTCATATTCCCTTCCATCCATTTAACTGCTGATATAGGAATTCGATCATCCTTTGTTCCATGAAATACATGTACTGGATGATTTACATCAGCATAAGAAAATCCAAATGTACGTTTTCTTTCAAAACACATTAATAAATCATTATTTGCTCCTGCTAAATTTTCTGCAAATGATGCTTTAAGTATTGCTAATCCAAGTTGTTGTTTTTTCTCACTATTTGTTGGAACTGATAAAGCTCCTGAACTTCTTGGTTTAATAGAATATGGTTGTCTACCATGTTTCATTTGTTGTAATGATATACCAGCAGAATTTGTAAATTTGATAATCGGAGTTGGAACATATTGTAACCATTTAAAATTATTGGCAACTGTTGTGCTAACCCAAGGTGATACCAAATAAATTGTACCCTGTAACCTTTGGGGTATTTTCATTGCGCATGCAAGAGCATATGGTGCTCCTGCACTATGTGCCATGATGAAAAATTTTGGAATTTCCATAATATCGCAAAGTTCTTCTATAACATCTATATCACGTGATAATAAATAATTAGTACAATAGTTTTTTTTTAAAAAAAAAAAATTTTAAAAAAAAGAATATTTTTAATATACCTGGCCATTTTAATACTTGTTGGTCCTCAGCTTTGACATCATCAGATAAACCGATACCAGGACGGTCAGGACATATTAATCTTAGATTATAACTTTTTGCCAAGTCATCAAAGAAAGCAATAAAATATCTTACACAACCCATTCCTAAAAATACAAATACAGGAAAACCATTCCTATCACCAACTTCTGAAAAACTAACAACTCTTCCAGAACTTAATCTAACACGTTGAGTTAAACGTGGCGCAGCAAGGAAGGTGGTGATCTCCATATTATTATTACTATTACTATTAGTGGTAGTTTCATTAGTTTCAGGTGTATTATTAGAAGTTTCAATATTAGTTGATTCTGAAACGGGAGATGTTGATGTTGATGTTGATGTTGTTGTTGAAGATTCCATAGTATTTTGTGAACAAGGTTCATTAGAAGTAGATATTGAATCTATTGATGAATTAATTGGTTGTGATTGTTGTGATTGTTCTTCAGCGATTATAGAAGATTTCTTTTTAGTTGAAAAGAAATTTGTTTTAGTTGATCTTTTACTATTAAAATCCATTGTTGTTGAAGATTCAGTATTTTCAGCAGCAACAGATTTATTTGTAGCTAGTGAAAGACGTTTTAATGATTTATTTGGTAATTTTGATTTAGAAGTAGCAGAATCAGATTTTCTACGTTGAGATAAAGAAAATTTCTTTATAGTAGGAAAAGAAGATTTTGTTGTAGAGATAGGAGATTTTGAATTTGAAAATTTTTGTTTTGAATTATCAAAAAAAGTTTTTTGAGGTTCAACAATATTTTTAGTATCAGGAGTAATATTATTGATATTAGTTGAAGAAGAAGTAGCGGAAGTATCAAAACTAGTAGCTGAAGAAGAAGAAGAGGAAGAAGAAGTTGAAGAAGTTGAAGAGACGGATAAAGAGCGCTCTGGTAATAAACTCATCATTTACTAAAATAAAAATAAAAAAAAAAAGGTACAAAAATTAAATGTTAAACAAACTATGCGGTCATTAAATGGATGAATCATTAAATATGCGAGTAATTGTTTATGTACAGAAATTTTGTACAAATATCAATAGTTGAAGTTGAGGAGTGGGATAAGCGGAGAGGTTAAGTGGAAAGTTTATGACAGCATATTACAGTGAAGAAACGTTTTTTTTTTTTTT